TGCTCTTCTTGACACCCACTTCGCTTTTTACTTTTTTTTTTTTTTTAATCAGCCAACACTGAAAAATGTAAACTGAAGTGACACTCGGAAAACACTGGAAAGACAAAATCCATTTTTATAGGGTTAATCCATGTAAATAAGAAGCTTCTTAATGAGATAAAACATAATCTGTCACATCATTGGTAAGCAAGAAATTATTCTTTCCCCAGATGCTTTAAAATGGGTATACCATCTCCCCTCCTTCCTTGTGGGAAAAAGCAAAAGATTTGTCAGCCCCCAGCTAATAGTATCACCTTAAATTTCCAATCCCATAACACTTGCATGCTACTCAACAGAACGATTTAGTAGCAGTATGTCACGAGCTGATGGTTGCATTGAATTTATGTAAGCAGGGGCAGTCTGCAGCCACCCACACCTTATTTACGGTACGTGTATGTCACAGCCTGGAATTGCATCCTACTATCATATTACATAGCAATTTCTGGAGTGTTTATGGGATACAACTCCAGGTATTAGGTGAGATATCACAGACTGAACTTTAGAATTTTGTGAATCAACTTTTTACCATCAACTTTTGGCTATGCAGTGCAATTTGGCCACTTCAATATTAGTCAAATATCAGCAATTCTAAAAAACAAGATACACACAGGAGATGAAGGTATCAGTGCTTCTTCTGGAGACGTTATTAACCTGTAGGATTTTCTCCTAGCACAATATTTGTTATAGAATCCACTAAAGAAGTTCATGCCAACATGAGTTGGTCTCATCCATGCTAAGGAAAATGGAGGTCAACGCAGCAAATTGAGGTTCCTTTTTGTGAAGTCTTGAAAGCGAGACCGAAGACAAGAGTAAGGAGTTTCCTCCCTGAAGGAAGACTTGAATTTACATGGAAATCCTTGCTGCTTGGCTGCAGCAGTAAACCCATGAGTAAGCAGAGACCTGACATACAAGGTGTTGACCTAGAGATGGCTTCAGGCAGGCATGAAGTCCATGTGTACAGCGTGGGAAAAGAAACTGCTTTGTAATCTTCAAATACTTGTGTTACAGATATATTAAAGTGATGCTGACTGCAATGCACACCAGTAATGAAAGCAATCTCCAATTCATAACAGGGAAATTTTAAGGATCTCTTAAGAAGGAGCAAGGAGATTGTCACGTGGAAGAAAGAGGATTTCAACCACTACCGTAAAGTCCAGAGATGTCCAACAAGTGCTCAACCAAAGTTTGAATTAACAATTTGACAGGAACCAAAGGGCAGCAAATGATTTGCATAAGTTAGTGCAGACAGTAGGTGCCTTCATCTTTGACAGGAGGTGCTGAGTAGCTCAGCAAGATTACAGACTCTAGCATGCAGAGTTCTACTTGATGTAAGTGAAAGGCCATTTCAGTCACACTGGAACATAATATGCTGAATGCTATAGGCTCCACAGGCTGTACTTTAACTGTACAAAAGGTGAAAGCACTTACGGGCTGTAATGCAGAATTCTGTGGGCTGCTATGTGGACCTAGCTGCTAATAACCTTCTCTGCTCTAATAATTAATGCAAAAATACATGTGCTGCTTCCAGGCATATTGCTTCCCAGCACTGTGATTTCAGGAGGGTAAAAAAAATGCAATCCCCCTGCCCATTTCTCTTTTTATAGAATACTGCTCTCACGGTGAGATCATTCTCTCAAAATCATGAGGAAGGACAAGCATTGTGATTTTAGTCTAAAATGGAGATTCCTGTTTTTCCTGCTAAGAACTAGCGTTTCACTTTCTATCGTGATTACCTCTGACCTTTGCGGTAGTAAAATGCTCCACCAAACATTTTCAAGAGATAACAGGAGACCTTCACAGTAGAGCAGGATGCTATGTGCAGGAGAGGTGCCTGAAGAGAGGTGGGGAGAGAGGAAGTCTGTCTCATAGTAGAATCAAGTCATAAAGCACCAACCACAGCCAGTCTCTAGCAGGGAGCAAACTCACACTGCAGGGTAACAAAAAACCCCAGGATTCTGCTTCAGAAAAGCTTATATAAACATAGCAGGCAGGGCAGGACAAGACAGTGCACCAAGGAAGACGGCTTGTTACAGTAGAGAACATAAGCGCTGCTATCCAGTACAGCAAGTATCAGATAACAAGATCAAAAGAAGAAAACTAAAGCGGAGGAAGGTAATCCCACAACATAAACACAAAACCAAAAAAGACACTAGAAGACAGTAGGCAATATAACACGTCAAAGTTATTACTACAACACGTAGGCTGACGTCATTTCACAAACTGAGAGATTTCATCTCCATAGTCAGCCCGTCCACAGAATGTACGCACCTCACACCCAGCAAAATTAGTAAGAAACTGAAGATTGCACAAAAGTTGCATGCTCTTAAATGTTTACACAGAGGACAGTTCCAAATGTTTAGCGGGTGGTGTCCGTGGCTTAAGACCTTTTAATGCATTGATCTGTTTGTCTCACTGACAAACCACAAAGGCAGGGACCAGGACAAACCTGCAATTCTGCCTCCCACCCCTAGTCTTTCCCTCATGGCTTCTTATTCCACACTGGCCAAAAAAATTTTGTAAAGCATCCCTGGGTCACAAGACCTGCAGACAAAACAGAAAAATAAGCATTAGAAGAATACAATCTGCAAGGATTAAAGGGGCACCATGACATTATTTTTTGGATGGCTTATCTGAAAATACAATATTAAGTATAGCAAAGAAGCCCACAGAGACAGAACTGTAACTGAACTCCGGTTTCCACCCAAAGAACAGAGTGCTGAATAATGAAAGACTTCTCTTCTCCCCCATATACAGTTTGCACAAAAAAGTTCTCTTTACCATGCAGTACAGAAAAACAAAAACATTCAGTAGTATAGTCAAATAGTCACTAAATACAGTGTACCAAGCCTCCAAAAAACACCTCAGTTCCATGAAGTACAGTGGTTTTCAAGAGTATAATAAATATATTTTTCTTTGAAATTGATTTGTAATGTGTCTCAAGCTCAAACAGACCATTTGGTTGATAGAGATTACACTTAGAAGAATATACTTCACATGCATGTTAACAAAGGGGCAATGATGATGACAGTCTTCTGATACAGTTTATCGGATGCCAGTTGAATCTTTCTATCCAAAGCTTCCCTCTTTTCTAGGGAAGCCCTACTTTTTTTCTAGGTTTGCATCCAATAAAGCCCAACCTTCTTCCTTTCTAAGATTTTGTCCAAAAAGATAATCACTGATAACTGAACGTCAGTGTAATTAATAGGCCTATGAATTACTTGATCATCATATCCAGTGAAATGCATGTATAATGCATATATAATGAAAGTAGGTGATTATTAATTACATTTTTAATTGCCTCACACTTTTGCTGCTGAAAGGAGGGAAGACACTGGTAGGAGGGGGAAGAAGGGAATGAGTCCTATTTTTCAACTATAAAGTGGAAGGAGACATTCTAAAGCAAGAATTAGTTTTTTTCCAAACCAATTACAGCTGAATCCAGTTTACCCAAGAAAGATCCTTGCATTTTTAGTAACACAGAGTGTCCACCATTTAGGAAATAAGAATCTGCCTGACATAAGAACCAAAATCTAGATTTTAGTAGCCTTGAGATATGATTTTTCTGGCAAGGTGTTTAAAGGACAAACATCTGTTTCAAGGCCTGGCATGACCTTCTAATAACGGATGAGAAGCTGCTTTCCCTCTTATACATTCTGCAAAATCTCCCCATCCCAATTCTTTCTGAGCTTAAGAGTGCTAATTGAAAACAGTACATGAAAATGAGGAGGTTGATGAGCTACTGAAAAACCCCAGCCCTGGATCGACAAGCTGTTCCCTTCATAAATAGCAGCAGTAAAGGCACTTCTTTATTGTACTGGGAGCTCAGTCATCTCTTGGAACTATAGTCCGTTCCATCTGGCTACCCTCTGGAAGGACAATGATCTTTTAGCTTAAGCCACACTATAATGGGGAACGTGTAATTAGCTGTTCTACACAGTATCACAAAAGGTCAGAAGCAGAAAGGATGAAAAGCCCTGTCTTCATATTTGCAGATGGCATAACGCAGCTTTATTTGCATTTCTAAGCACTATTCAAGACGTGTACAGTAGATCTCTACATAATAAATGCCAAAAGAATCCAGATATGTACATAGTTAAAATAGAAGTAGGCAAACTCCTAACGGCTGTCTAGTGCTGTGCATCACGGGGGGAGCGGGGGACTAAGTGATGTGGGAAATGCAAAGAAGCACAGTAGTGCAGAAAGACTGATATTTCTTAGTTGTTTTGTTTTTCTACTCAGTTCCTTAATACAGTTTTCTAAGCTGTTAAACAGAAGCAAAAATGCAGAGTCATGAGCTCAGTAATAATCTATGCATAAGCCACATGATCATTAAAGTCTCAGCAAATGCTACCTATTGCCTGAACCACACATTAGTGCTTCATTTACATGTAGACCTTCATAACCAGATGTGCTTGACTACAGGTGCTACAGAGCAGGTAGTTGTAGGGTATTTTCAATTTATAACAGAGACGAGTTCACCTGTAACCTCTTGAGACAAATAAAACTTCTGTGACCACCAGATTCTACAGTTAATGCAGAATTTTTCATATTTACTGCACTCGTGAAAGGAACCTTCTTCTCAATTAGCCACCCTGCTACTAAAATGTAACTAATTTTTCTCTTCCCCCCAACTTTTTTTTTTTTTTTTTTTTTTTTTTACACACTATTCAGTCAGTATTCATATTCACCTTACACAAATACAATGAATAACAAGACGAACAGCTATTTATGATTTATGTCTTTATACAAAAGATCTTGGAGCTAACGGGAATTTCAGAACTCTTTAATGCTGTTCGATATTTTCAACTCCATTTGACTTTAAGTCAACCTGCTCCTGTGGCTTTGAGGAAAAAACTTTTTGATTGTAAAATATGGTGAGATCAGCACAAGAATAAGTGTCAGAACAAATGTCAGAGGTACAGAGTAGACACAAAACAAAAGCAGCCTAAGAGTGAGCACTTACCCAGTCACTAGCGTTCAAGTCTGTTTACCACATCTCGAACTGTGGCTATGAGGTTCTCATTCTCCTGTGGGTTAGCCATAATAATACTGTGCAGCCTATTCATGTAGGAATCAATATTTTCCATCGTGGGTGTTTCCCCGCTACCTATAGTTAACATAGTAAAATAAACCACAAAATATTTCGATGACCACAGCAATTCCAAAAAAGTTAAGACTACACTAAGGGCAATTTGTGCCAACATACAAACGGCTATAGGAGGTGATTTTGCCATGCACCATCTCTTGTGACAGATTCTGTAAAATTATGTCCTCCTAACTCCGCAAAGTGAATAGCTCCAAGGATATCAGGACTAATGAAGCATGGGTTTCTTTGATTTGGGTCTCACAGTTGATTATAACAAACTCCTTCAGCTGGGCATTCATAGTATCTAAGTGGATTCCCTGGCATCTGATAATACAGATGCAGCATTTCTTTTAATCAAGGAACTTGCAGGTCCTGTCTTTTCTATTTAGTAACATTTTCACAAAACAAGTGAAGGAGAGCAAGAACTTTTTATTAGGAAAAGAAGAGTAAGAATAGTAAGAAAAAAAAAATGCCACACTGAATTGAAGAACTGACACTGAACCTTCCCCTGCATGCATTTTAAGATTTCATTATCTAATTCAACAAAAGCTCAGAAAGAGCCAAGATCATAGAACTACAACAGCAGGCCACGTGTTGTAAATCCACATCATTGTATGAACATCAGAAATTAAACTTAACATGTCAGACAGCCATAAGGAAAAAGTCTTACCTGGTAGCGGGACTCCAGCAAAGCTAGTTGTGAGTGCTTGGCGTAAAGTCTCTAGATGCTGTTGTAGCACTGTGTTGCGGCTACGCTCTTGTATCACATCCACCTCCAACTTCTCCACCGCAGTACGCATACTCTCAACATGTTTCTGCAAAGCAGCATTCCTCTCCTCAAACTCCATGTTGGATTTACGCAGCTGCCGCAGCTCAGCTTCACGCGCTGTGAATATCAACCCATTCCCATGTAGTCAAAAAGCTATAAAAAATGTATCTATGATTGGCAAGCAATGAAGCAGAATGTTCTAGAGTGCTCAACCAATGATTACACATGGTGCAGTTTTGGTTTATAGATGAAAAGGCATTATATCATGAAACATCGATAGTGCCTACAGCAATACTGAAATGGACTTAATTTCTAGAGAGAAAGACAAATTAGAAGACATTCAAAGCATCAGAATGTAAGTGAATAGAGGAATTGATTAGGAAGGAAGACTGCAAGACTGATTTCAAATGTATTCAGTATGATATAACTTAGCAGCAGTGGCAAGAGGCCTACAGACAAGATACTAGTGACAAAAATACATTTCTATTGATCATCAGGAAAAGTATCTCAATCTGAAGTCTGTTCAGTCACAAATGTCTCCAGGTAATCTGGTAAAAAATCCTAAACCTTTGGGACATACAGCTATGAAAACCAAATAGAGTAACAGAAAACCTATCAGTGGAATCTTCCACATATCCAGAGGGGAGGGAAAAAAAAAAAAAAATACTGCTAACTAGCATGAATCATAATCACACTACATCTTCGGTATTTATTTATCCTATAGAACAACAGATCCAGCCTGGAATGGCTGGAATAACAGCAAGTAGAGTTTAAACATCAGAAATGTTCTTCAAAAGGATAGTTTTGGAAGACAAAGCCAAGAAAAACTGCTGTTGCAGACATTGCGTTTGGATAGAGGTAAGGTAATATCAGAAACACTGACCAACTATACCCAAGTCATTACTTGAGCTGAGACGGGAGAGTGCAAGGACTTTTCAACTGGACAGCACCTGGCAAAAAGTTTGGAAAAGCAAAGAGGTGGCCCAGCAAAAGTTTGAGTTACCTTTACTATGATTCAGGAACTCTTCTGTGAAGATTGGAATATCAAAAACAGATCTCTCCTTTGTATCTGCTTCCTTCTACAAAAGAAAAGAGTAAAAAATAGCTAAATACTGTTTGTTTTCAGGAATTCATGAAATTGTTTTGATCAAGAAAACAGAAAGAGAAGGGAGAGCAAAAACTGGGGCGGAAGAGGAGCTGGATGGATGGAAGACACTTCCAGCTCCTATCAAGGAAGGCCAAAGGGTAGGTCTCAGCTTTTTAAGATATAGGTTTAATAAAGGCCAAATAAAATATCAAGAAATATCATACAACATACTAAAATATACCCTGTCACCCTAATGAAATTACACATCAGAATCATTCAGTTTTAAAACTATCTGAATTCATATGTATATTTTCCACTGGAGAACATTCTACCATCATCCAACTGACACATTCTGAAATAGCCTATACAGGAATATCAACAAACAGGAGACAAAGCAAGCACAATGCACACTAGGTTTGATGGTTCTTTGTCTTTCACTACCAAAGTGAAAAAGAAAACAGCCAGGAAAAAGAACAGCTAAATGAAAAATCAGCAACTTTTCCAGTGTACCAATTCCACGTCTGTTCCAGACTGGAAGAGACGTCTTTTTTGAAACATTTAGATGGATGCTGCCACTAATGAAAGGAAGTGTATAAATGTGATTTGTAAGAATCTACAGGGAAACCTACAGAATATGGAGTGTCTTGGAAAGATAAAGGTGATTATGTATAGGCACATTTTGCTGTTAGAAAGCAGTCATTCACCCTGGCTATGGCAGGTATGCATTAATATGCAGAGGGCTTCAAGGAACTGGACTGTTACCTCCTGCATACTGCAAAACCAAACACTGCAAAATTTTTTTCACTTTAAAACACAAGTTTGTCATATTAAGATAAATCCTGTAGTCAAGGGTTTCCTGTCAACTTTCAGACCTCATCACCTAATTTCTGATAAAGTTGGTGAAATTCAACTATGTGAACTTGAGGCTATTAAAATCTAAGAGAGCATTACAGGTGCAGAAGATATGATGTCAATTTATGGTTTGTGATTAAAATAGGCTTTCTTTAAAATAACTTTTAAAGCAGGAAACGCTCTATAACTTAGTCAAAAACCCTAAAAAACTTTATTTGACTCAAGGAAAAAAACTTACCATAATATACTTCGGTCACCTTGTCTACATGTCAAACCCAATGGGAACTAATGCTTTCTTTAAAACCTGCATTGATATTGAAAAGCCAATGCAAATTTGGTTTGATAAACTGCAGCAACTACAATCAACCTGTTACTTAATATAGAAACAAAGTTAAGCATGAGAGAATCTCCATGGAGAACAAAAGCTTTTCAAACCTTTCAAACACCTGGGTTGATAACATACCAGGAATTCATCCTCCAAAATTATGTCGTGTCAAACATGATTTGGTGCCCAGCAGAAAACCTAAATGTCTAACAGCTGATAAAGGAATTCTGGCACCTGAGCTCAGAGTATCATACTGGCATCTGCCATAAAGGGGCTAGGTGAGGTGAGCTGAATGCCATTTGGCAGTCAACCAAGAGAGACAAGACTAGATGAAACTTCAGATACTCTGTCTTTACCTGAGGATACTGTCAATTGATTGTTTTTAAAGTAAATGATAAGCTGAGTTTTATCGTCTGGTAGAATTACAGCTGGGAAGCTCTGTATTTGCTGAGAACTCAAAAGCTCACTTGGCCTCAAATCAACTGAAGATGCACCAGAAACAGACGGGACTAGATGGAGGGGGAACCAACCTTCCCAGCTCTGTGAGATGCACTAGGGTGTCACAAGCAGTTCATGATCACACATGCTCTTCACTGAAGTTTTCATACTTGCTACAATAGGGAAAAAGTCTCAGGAGTATGTATTTAGAAACGAGAAGTCACATACAGAAGTCTGCATAATGCATTCATTTTGTCAGAACACTCCCTAGATGGCTAGGAATTTAACCCCAAAACCTAGGATCTCAACATTAATATGCACAGAGAAATGGTGGCAGTTACAAAGCTCGGCTAAACCACTTATAGGACATCCATCTTGGCTGTTCTGATTCATGTTTACTATTGCTACCTGCATGCAAAGAGGCACTGGCTTGGATCATTGCAGGCTCCTAGAGAATAGATGGCTGAGAAGAGTACTGAAAGTAGGACAGGGTATTCTATTTGCAGGCCAAGGATACAGCTTCTTCAGGTAAAAACAAAAAAATATTAAAGTGATTAGATGAAACTATTCAGCTTCTCAAAGGCAACCAAGAAACTCTACTAAACAGAAGAGTGCTAATGAAAACCATCAGCGCTCTTCCATTACAGAATACATTACCCAGCACGTAAAAGATCCTCTTGAGAAATCTGAAGTACTTAAACCACTCTGAAGTTCACTCAGGATTAAAATCATTACCTCCTGTTGAAAAGGCCCAGTCTGCTCAGGTTGCATATAATTTTGTCATCCCGCAAAGTCAAAAGAGAAACAAAATTACTGTTTCTATCATTTGCTTTAAATAAGATTGAGATGCTTCCAGAGTGTCAACACATAATACCATTCTCATCTGGCTATTAAAACTGAGACTGACCTTTGGAGGTTCCAGAATAAATCAGACATTAAGTTCTCAGACACATGGTGAAGTATGGTAAAGAGAAAGATGAGATTCTTGGGGCGGTTTAAGCTCATCCTTCCTTGTACGGTCAGGTGCAGACAATGTAAGGAACAGATAATATGCATACTACTTCATAAAAAAAAGTGTTCTCAGAGTAAGTAGTTTTCTTCTTGCATGCTCCTACTACAGCAGCCATCTCACTGTCTTCAAAGGCTGTAGCTACTGCCAGGCAATGCCTAATCTCCCTGGCTTGTGTATATAAATTTTTGAAATCTTGCCAGTAAGATGTTGTGTAGCTGAATGCACGAAGCTAGACCTATTCTGAATCAAACAGCTTGAGGAAAGAAGCAGTAACAGAACAATGGAGAACAATTAAAAATGGTTTGGTCACTGCTGATGACAACTAATAGTTCCAGTCTATATTGTTATATATCATATTTAGGAAACTAGGATTTGGAGGACGAAAAATGTTCTGTTTCATGCTCACACATGAGCTCATTGAGACAGTGTCTCCATGGTTTTCATGGCTATATCTTCCTATTAAAACTTTCCTCTCACCTTCCCAAGCCTCATCCTTTTGTTATTTATAATTAAGTAGTATTTTAATTGCTCATTGCAATACTTTTTGGAGTTCAACAATTAATTCAACACTGATTCACAGAAACTAAATCATGAACACCTAAGTGGAGCAAGGGGAGAAGGAAAGGTTTCCTTTTCTTATATTCTCTCAAGAAATATTTAAATCAGATCATACGTACTAATCACAAACACAGTAATAATAGTCAATATGAGTAAGAGACAGCAGCAAGACAACAAAAAGCTTTAGTCTTACTTCCAGTAACAGCTTGAGTATATACTTCTAAGAGCAATCTAAATATTTTCTGCTTCTTCCTTGCCTGCGCAGGATTATAATATTCAATTCCTTTGCAGAAGAGATGTGAAAGCATATCAGGAGATAAGCATGTGGAATTTTATAATATAAAGGTGAAAAATGCTAAGCAGTCAAAGGTGTAGGCTTTCAGAAGAGGAAGCCTGCCCAACATGTTGCTAGCTCAACTGTGTAATAGCTACCTGATGAAGCTTAAAAGCCCCACAGGTATGGAGGACTCCTCTTTAACCACATTTATGACGTGAGATTTCAGCAATGATAGCTTGAGTGAGAAGGATGAAAGGCAAGACTCTGAATTTGTAGTTTGCCACCTGTATAATTCAAAGGTTATGTAAACTTTACAATCAACCTGAAGCCTTCAGTAATCTGTTTTGGTACACTTAAAGACAAATTTAGATACAGTGATATAGAATCAGAAATCCTAGGGACCGTGTATTTCTAAAGATTAATCTAACTGCAAGTACTGCCTTTAAGAGTTAATAAAAAGACATATTGAAAACATGCTAACAAAGCACTTTCCTGAAAGTGAAACTTATTTCCCTTAAAGCGGACAAGATCAGTAGTTGCCTCTCAGCAGTGCACAGCCTTGTCGCTATTGTAATGAACACATTAAAAAGCAACTTGATTGCTTTCCCAAGGCAAAAAACCTCACAAAGAAAAACAGATCTTTCAGAAAGGCCTACTGCTTACAAGTGAAAAGGCTGTGTATAAACAAGATTTTTCATTGCTTTTTCTTTGCAATTTATTGGTAACCATGACAGAAGCTCTGTGGCCCTAGGTAATACAACTGGAGAGAGAAAGTTTCAGCACTTCAAGGGGAGCGATACCATAGTCAGCCAGGATGCACAAGATTTGTGATAGGTCTCATGAACTAAAGCATAGGCATCTTATCTCCAGAATTTATTACTCTTTTCCAATATTTTCCAAAGGGAGGGGTGGGGTAGGAGGAGGTTTAAGCCAGAGATCTCTCAATGATTTGGTTACTTTACCCATTTTCTTCTCAAGGAAGCCACAAGCATTCATGTTGCTGCAGAAAATCAGTACCTCAAAAAAGCAACCTAAAGGTGTTAACTTGGAAGGTTTATCTAGGTCTCAAGCTATTTGTAAGTTTTACCTCGATGCTTACTTACCAAACAATAATTAAAATTCTCTGCTTTGAAAAATTTCAAAGTACAAATTTTGCAAGTTGAAACTCCACCAGATACTTAAAGGCTCAATTATCCTGACCTGCACCCATTGGTTTATTTAGCATTACAAAACAGATCTATATTTTAAGTGTACCCTACACTGCCACTTTATCTTAGATCATAAGCCCAGGAGTTACTAAATTTAGCTATCATCATACTAATGTTAGGATAAGACTCAGTTGTTTCTAACTTTTGATCAAAAACTGCATAGGAAGAGGAAGAATTCATACTCTAAACCTCTGATGAGTGTCTTCAACTGGCATAAACTGTTTTTTATTGACTTCGCTAGAAACTTTCATCATCTGAAAAAATCTACCCACCGACGTAAGAATAGAATGAAGAGGTTTACCTCATGATCATGGGCTTGCTGTCTTGCACCATCTGAAAAAGAAAACACAGTCAAGAAATCCCCCAAAATGCACAAGATTTGAGAAAACAAGAACCAAAGAATTAAAGCAGTTACACAACCATAATTACACAACAGTTATAGACAGAAAACTTGTGCAGCTTTCCTAGAAAATCACATAGAAGTTGTGTCTAACTTTGCTTTTAATGCACATCCTCCAATACAATCTAGATACAGTTAAATTTACATAAATCTAATCACTTTATACACAGCTGATGCAAATGCCATGGAAAGAACACATTCACTTTTTAACAAGCCTTTAAATCAAAGGCTTCAAATGAGTGTCAGGCTTTATGACTAGCTGGGAATCTTCTGTTGTTCTAGCTAGGCACATAGTTTTGTCCCATTCAATACCTTGTCTGTGTGATTTGCCTTTTTGTCTGTCCTGTGCTTTCCTGCTAAAGACTTTGTAGGCTTCAGTCTTCTGATACTGCTCCAGCTCCCGCATATAACGCTCCTTATCTCTATCTGCTTCATCAAGGTATCGCTGAAACAAAAAAGTCCAAGAGTTTCAGGGAGTTTCCTCCCCTTCAGGAGGAAGGGAAGAAAAACAACTTGTCAGATGAAGTGCTGATCCATTTCACCTATGCAAATAGGAAAGGAGTGAAGAAGCAATGAGAATGTATGTGAGATGCAAAGACCTAAGATTTCTGGATAAAATTACTGTATTCTGGTGTCCCTTTTCCCTCTTTCTCCTTTTTTCTTTTTTAAATTTTAATCACTATTTTGTTAACTCTTTTTTGTTAGACCTCGAAGTAACCTGCTACTAAGCTACTCAATTCAACTGAGTATTACCTACATGTTATAGACCAAATATTTAAGAATTGCCTTTCTGTGGCCGGGATTAAATGCCAGCAAACAAGAACACCTTAACAGATTACACTTTAAGGTTCGTATCTCTAACAGTGGGGTTCCAATACACTCTTGGTTTTGCGCATCCCAGACAAAAAAGCACTACCATTCTACACAACCACGCACTTCACCCATCTGAGAGGGTCAACAAGACATCAAGGCTATTGGAAAAGAGTAGCATAAAGATAAAAGAGCCTAGGTTATACCAATTTAAGTGATCTGCATTTAGGTTACAAGAAATCCTTTTTCTAGCCTGAAGATATTTCACACATCAGCGTAACGGAATGAGCTTAACTGTAGAATTCTTGAGGGAGCCGACGAGCTGAAAACCATTTAAGGAGTGGTCACAACACTTACTAATGGGATGCTTTCAAGAAAAAAGTTGCCTTCCCAATTTTTTGCCCCAATGAGTTTAAAATTCAATGGAAGTATTAAATCAGAGTGAACCTTAGTCACTTGGTATGCCTTTTATTTCCATTAAGTCATCACGACCATACACATAAGAGTTATAAAGTTCATGCATTTGCAACATTGGTTTGACCCTGCTGAGGACACTGTTAACGTTCTGCATTGGGGTGCAAATTTGGCGATGCTGGGTTTGCATTTCTTTTGGACACTGCATTCTTCCATAAGACATTAATTCTTCTTTTCCATCTGCAGCAATGTGCTGCTGAAAGAGTGCAGTAGCAGAGTTAAAAACAATACAAGTTTTTCCTCCTTAACTTGTGTTTTGGATGGATTGTTTTGAAACAGTAAGATGAGTTCTGCTGCACTACCTGTAAGTAGATGTCCTAGGTCTTCTAGCACAGATCTATACATCTCATTAGATATTTCCCCATACAGGGGAAGAACAAAAAGAATTATTATTAGGGTGTTTGCTTTATGAGTATAGTAATGGTCTTTTTCTGGGGAAGACTCACTATTTGGTCAGTCCAGTCAGCTCAAATGACCTGTCCTTACGCTCACCAAATACAAAGGGAAGCAGCAAGCCTACAGGGCTGGAACATGGGAAACACGAGACTTTCCCTTCAGCTTTTATACCAGACAGCTAGTTTGCTAATATCGCTGGACATCAGCCATATCAGACATGCTTTTCCCCTGGATTATGGTACTAACTGCCACAGCAGTAGTATACTATGACTCCACCACTTGCTTCAGGAGTATGACTTCATAGTTGTTAGCTAACCAAAACCAAGCTTACTCAGCTTCAACAAGAATTTTGGGCGGTCATATTAGAGATGCGGGTTCTGAAGCAGCAGTGGCTTTGACTGCCTTAATAAAAAAGGGAAAGGAGAAACTGAAGGGAAGGAAGTTCTCAGCAGTCCTTCCCTGACCCACCATAGGTTAGAGACTCACAGCTTTACTCAGAAAAGGAAAGATTCCCTGGGGATAAAACTGAGATTTGAAGTCAATCCTAGGTTAAAATTCTGTCTCAGGCATGACAGAACTATGTTAAGACATCCGATCCCTCCACCCCCTGCCCTTATTCTTTCCCCCGCATCTCGCAGCAGACAGGAACATCATTCTCACTACAGATCTGTTACCACATTAACTGCTTTGCTTTGACGCACATTTTCCATTATGTTTAAAATGCTATGCCTATGCACCATTTTACAGCATCTCTATATAACTTGTATTCTACAAGCTTAATAAAAAGCAAAACCAGGAACTCTTGTTTTTTCAATCATCCCATTCAGCCATCATCAAAACTTTCCTTATAGTTTTTTCAAAAACTTAAATGTCCTAGTAAATTCATATAACATCAAGTTGCCCTGTGATGTAACTACTGCTTTGCTGTAATCTCCAATTGGCAATCGGGTGTGGATGGTAAGACACCCATTAGCGATAACAAGGTCTACTCCAGAAGCAGTTAAAGAACCAGACCCAACATTGCATTGGTCCTCATTCACATACCAGACAGTGCACTGGCCACAGTAGTCCCAATTAGAAGACATCACATTGTGACTGAAAGTTGGAAAAAAAAAACCAAACCAAAAACCTTTTCCTGAGGTAATGTGTGTAGAAACTGGAACACTTAACTCTCACTGTCTCATCCATCATACAGATCTCAACTTTCTTTCTAGGGCTAGCAATACTTCAAAACATTAAAAGTTTATTCATGTTAACCATCTCCTGCAGTAACTCGTCCTTTCAGGTCGGCTTGTCTTCCTCTAAGACACCAGGTGTTTACATACATCGATGAGTTTTAAAAATAAACAGAACTGCAAAGTCCTTCAAGCAGCTTTGAAATCCCACCGAATCCTCCTCAGCCGCAATGAATAAATGCCTACTCCACCCTTCCAACAGCTTTGGCCTTGGAAACTGGCAGGTCTCAGCTGTATCTGAGTTACGTACAACAGTTACGTCCAGATAAATTGCACAAACTATGGGATGTCTCACTGGAACACTCCTTCCTGTTCTGAACATATTCTTGCACTACCTAGAGGATACAGTTCTCCCTCAAGTCACACCTGGATGAGATGCTATGGCCCTACCGGGGTTCATTATTTGAACTCTGGAGGACCTATGCCTCTTATTTTGAAATATATTCCTAAACACAACTTTAATAAAAAGCCTATGTTAACTTCCTCACTAAACAACAATATTCTCATTTAACAGTAATCACAATCCAACAAGGAAAAGGGAGTTTAATGGTACCCGTTTCTCCTCAGGAGGCAGTTTACTCCATTCATTGCCCAGCATCCTGGTGATCTCTGGGAAAGGGACTTCAGGCCTCTTCGCTCGAAGCTGCTCCCTACGCTCATTCATGAATCGCACATACCCTGTGAGGGGGGATTTGGGGGCATTGGTGTCCCTAAGGGGTTTCTTCCTCTTTCTCCCTTTGGCCCAGCCTCCTCGTTTAGTTCTTTGCTGCTGCAAAATGAAAATGGAAGAAAATTCAGATTGAGGGAAAAGAATTACCACCTCTGGAAGGAATAAATATTCATGTCTCAAACAATTTCATCAGGAGTATGTTGCTGCAATACATCCTCGCCATGGATCTAAGTTTCAAACCTTACTTAAGAGCAATCCTAATTTTCCTCTAAGTAAAGCCGAAGTCTCACTGTGAAAAGTTATTTGCAGTATCTCCTGGTCCACAGGGACAATAAATGACCATTTGCATCAACGTCTAATTGAAAAACCGTGATGACTGATAACCCATGAAATTCTCATCCTAGCTAATGCAACTGCAAATATTATTTACAACTGCAAACACTTTTTTTGTGTTAGTTGTTTGTTTGGTTGTGGTTTGTTTGTTTAAATTATTCTAACCCTCACGTACCCCTCCGCCCCCAGTCATTTGCCTCAATATCACTTTTGGAGAGATTTGGTGTATTAGTTAACAATTGTTAACTAGTTATTTTGCCCCTTCCAAATCTTTCACCTTCATGCATTGTGTGTCCGAAACATGGGTGAAAGGACAGTACATAGGGCTTTTCTATTCTAATCTATTCTCTAGGCTTTCTTTCCCACTAACCACCTCCAATAGAGAGACGAACAAACTCCAACGGAGGGAACACTAAGATTTGCCTGGAGCACACTGTGAGCTCACAGGAATGACATAATTACCACTCATCCTCCTGGCTTCATGCTACTACTATAAGCAATCTCTGGACAACACTGTTTTCTTATGCTAGGTACATATAACTATTTCAGTACTTCTAAACTCTCCCCAAATTGACACGTTCCTGCCATCATGTCAGCTTTAGTTTCCTTTCTGAAATTTTACTACTTCCTTAAACAGGGACCTCACAGCTGAAGATAAACTACAAGGAAGAATATCAAATGCAATTATCAAAAAAACCCCAAACCACTTGCATGTTAACCTTCAATTCCTTCATAATTTAGTTACCAAAAATCAGTGTGGGATGGTACACAAGGTATAGTCTAAAATAGTAAGCACATGCTTTCAAACACATCAGTTACTCCCAGAGGAGTACAATGGTCTCACTTTCCTGACTCAGTAGAGATAAAATAAGTTGTGGCAGCTGAACATTTAGTCTTCAGAAAAAGACTGAACGCAGTACGAGTCTGCTGGCTAAGCTAGAGACATGTGTTGTTCTCTGTACATTACAACGGCCAGCTTTCCTTGGTTATCTGTGTGCTGTTGTGCAACACAAGAGAAAACTAGAAAGAATCAAAAGATGAAAATGGAAAATGGATGAAAATTTGTGATCCTAGCCAAAAAAATCTGAGTAGATAAGACAAACTATAATGACAGAACTCCATGCTTTTGCTTCATTGAGAAGTCACTATTATTTCATCTCACCTCCTCCTCAGGCTTCTGCTCAGTGTTTTCAGCAGTATTAGAGGACTCGTTTTGCAGCTGCTAAAATGAACCTGTGACAAATCCTCCACCAAATCTGGGTTATTCACAGACTGTGAAGTTCCACCACTGAATGAACTTTCAGAATGAGCTAATCTGAAAAAGCACATAATAGGAAAGGAAAAAAATTTAATCATCATATTGCTAAATCACTTCCTTCCTAATCTTCTAAAACATGCAAAAATGTTGCAAATATATGCAGTTCCTACACGAGCAAGAAAAAAAAAACAACAGGATTTTTCAAAGAGTCATTTTTGAAGAACTAGCTGTTCCTTCCAAGCAACTGCTATAACTACCATAGTTACTACAGACTTTCAAAGACAGTTTGATTTTTAAAGTGTTATTTTACTTCATTTTTAGTGAAGCTTTTGATTATACAAACAACTGTCAAGCAAGTAAAACGTTTGGACCAAAAATCAGAAAGCATGAATATACACTTCTTCGACAATACCATAAGGAATTTGAAATTAATGGTTTTATCTTCAACCAATATACAGCTTTCTGGATGCATTTAATGTATTTCTCCGCAAATACACTTAAAGGTTTGTGGTTGTGTATGACTTTGGACTGAACTTCATTCAACATAATCTCCTGTTGATACATGCGGGTGTTTAAAACACAAACATGACTAGCTCCCAACAGGCTCCTGAATGGCCACCATTTATTTTTGCTGCAAGAGCTATATCAATCAACCTTACTCCAAGAAAGGACAAGCTGTCTGGACACAGGGGGAAAAAAAAAAGGCAAGGATGCAGAAATATTTCTGAAGGTAGACAGAGATGAGCACATACTTTGGGGCAACAACCCACAGTCGTTCTCACCACTGCACTCAGTGGGCAAATAAATACAAGATTTTGAGACTCATCTCAGATTCTAATCCCTTCTTGAGTCAGGCTAAAGATTACTTGGCCTTTCCCAGTCACATGCATGAAAATTACTATAACAGCAGTGTATGCTTCAAGTCTTTGTTCATTTACTCAGATCTTCAGCTGCTTACAGGTATGCCAAACATTTTAAATATTCAAAATAATGGTTCCTGTTAATGTAGAATACAGCTATAGAAAACTGAGGTATGTAAACAGAGTTGTTAGTTGAATGCCTACAGGAAACTTTGTCTTTAAATAGAGAGAACAGCATATTTTCATTACTCACTATCATCAGCAATCGCGGCATAATTACTGGTAAAGACACAAGGGCTGGAGAGATCCATGCCTGACTTTCAGACACCAGACTGAGTTCATATTACTAACAATTACAGAGGGAGAATGGGAACAAAGCGTACACACTCATTTAAGTTAATTACATTTGGTATGTGTCAAAAAGAAGATAGACTAATAATTTCTTAGAATCACTGTTACAGTTTGAAGAATATTTCAGCTTTCCTATCCGTTTCCCCTTAGCAGGGAAGCTTTCTAAACCATACAGACAGGAAAAACTTCAATGTGATGCAGGCATTTGCTGTGAAAGCTGATGAAACTCAGTCAACACAATAATACCTCTTAAACACACCTAATTTGAACATGGACTTCATTTGACATTGGCAAGTTTGAAGTTCCAGATATGTAAATCCGAATTCAGACCTGCTTGAAGTAACTGCGTCAATATTCATTTTTACAGGGCTTTACCTGCCTGCAAAGTCTGAATTTTATTGCTTGGTGCTTTACAAAACAGAAAAGAAACTTCAAGTATCAAAACACAGCTAAAATCCTGTATATTCCTAAAAGACAAGTTCTTTTGTCACTGTGATTTTAAGAGGCCATTGTTTCAGTCTGTAAAAGCAGAGTCAGTCTGACAAAGACAAAAGACATCAGTTTCTCAGCGATTTTCAGAGATCAGTGATGAACAGTGTATGTTTAATAGAAATCATTTATTTAGCAGGGACCACTGTAGCCAACAGATACACCCTCTCCCTCTGCCCCCATCATGGTGTTTAAATCTGTCTTAAAGACTAAAATCTTAGGGAAGCAAACGACAAGAGATATTAAACAAAGGGTTGTGATCATTTCCATCAGTTCAGAAGCATCCCGATTTCTCCTAAATAGTCCTCTGATGTTCTAACAAGGCCACAGGAGCACTGCAGGATTTATTTTTGTTGGAGTTTTTTTTTGTTTGTTTGTGGTTTTTTATTTTAATTACTTAGAATGCCCTCTTCCCACTGAAACAATTTCCCTGTCAAGCCTAGAGATAGTATCTATGAGCTGATGATTAAAAAGAAGTAGTTGCTTACCCAGTTACAGTAATTTCACTACCTTCCTTAGATCCATCTTCATCTGCAAAAACCGAAGGAAGGGTGGAGCCAGCCACCAAGTTCTCCATACCTCTGGTAAAAAAAAAAAAGGTAAAAAAAGTGAATTACCTCATTGCTTCCCTTTAGCAGCACTTCAGTTTAAACATCACAACATACCACAGATTTTTTTAACACATAAACCAATTGGCCGGTCATAGCTGGTTGGCCTCAGGACAGATGCTACAGGCAGCTGCACTTAGTCAGAGAACAAAGATCATAAATGATGCTTCAATTCAGAGCTTGCCTTTTAACTAAGCCCTGCACCAATGCCAGTGTTGCTGGAAATCACACAGTAGAATTCTATTTTATCCCTTGAGACAAATTTTTGTACTCAGCACATAGGTATGTAGACCCCACTCTTCCAATCCACCTTCCTGTTCATCCTCAACTGCGCACCCTTCACAGGTCTCTGTTGACTCCAAAAGGAAGTTGAAACTAAGTCCTTCTTGAAGTTTCAAAATAAGGTTACAATAGATAATTCCTTGTCCACATTTTCACAACATATCTATGCACGTAGTTGAGGGTTATGGCTAAGTAAGAGAACACAGCAATGTTAGCTAGATTATTTCAAGCTTCAACTCCCATAGAGCAGTTACAGAAGCAAGTAGTTTAAGGCACAACACTCATTCGATACAAACTGTTCCCAAGTTAGAATCTTTCTTTTGTATCCTTGTAGTCTGCCATGGGAATTTGATGCAAGATAAGCAATCTGAAGAATAACTAAATTTATTCATCCCCTTTCTTACTAAAATACAGAACTGTTGTATTGTAGGGGGAAAAAAAAGAATCCCCAAACAAAAAGCCTTGACAAACTCACTCTACGATTACAAGTTGCAGTTTCAGCCCATTTTAAAGGGCTATACTAGTTAGTTTCCTGTTCCTTCAGTTTAGAAGTCACCTTTAATGAGCTAGCAGATACTTGAGTATTGCTATCTCTTTCAGCTAGTACACTTAAAGCTTGGAGGGACCAATATGAGTCATAATCTTGTGCTGCTTTCTCCTGGATTGGTGCACTTTCTACTCAGCATTGGAATCAAAGTGATCTGAGACAAAAAAATCCTGCTCCATGTTTTCAATATTGTGTTTTCCCACACCCCACTTCCACAAGTAAAGGTTTTCTATGAACAAAAGCAATGACACTGTTTCTTGCACCTTATTACTTGCAGATCCCTATCACAAGTACTACGTCTGATATGGCGCAAAACTTCTGCCAACAAACCAGTGAATACAGCAGGCCACCCAAACAGAAGAGCACTGTGCTCCTACTCAAAGGACTTTGGATGTGAAACACACTTATTCCACTGCCACATTTGGTTAAAATTGGTCAAAGGACTCAAAAGGCTATTCCCAGGAACTAAGAGTATAATCGTACACGTGACATTCAGTTTTCAGATCGTGAGCACTGCTCTATTCATTTCATGCCTCACTTTGAAAACATCGGAATATCTACTCCTTTTAGCAACAGCTCTACACCTTTGTAAGTTACTACAGCTGTTGCTAAATGTATCTCTGCTAAGTGTCCAATTTGTTTGGTTAAGCAAATGTTCAGATAATGCTCACAGTAGATCAATCGAAAGTCTCCAAGAAACAGGCATTATGTCAATCTAATTTCCACCATGAAGTTCATTTACGTTTCCAAGCAAGACTATCCTTCCTATACAGAAGGAAAGCGCAAGAAATAAGAATAGTTACCTTCTCTCATTTTTCAGATGATATTCACCCTTTTCTATTCTGCTTTTTCAACTGTTGAGATCCTTAGGTCATCCTTAAAAATCCCATCATTCTTATACCTTGTCTAGAAAATAATTAAAGCCACACAGACTGCTTCTCGGTAGTACAGACTTTGACATCTAGCAGAGAAACATCGTTTACTCATGTACAGGAAAGACTGAACCAGTAATGAAGAAATCTAATTCCTGTTCTACAATTATAAACCATTAACTGAGTATAATTGAGGCCTCAGCCTCAAGTAAGATGTGGCAAAATTGGAGACTGTCCAGTAAAGGTCTGCCAAGATGGTCAGGGGCCTACAACACCTGACCTGAAAAGGGATGTTGAGGAAACTGGGCTTGCTTAGTCTGGCAGAGGAGGCTAAGGGCAAATCTAATCGGTGCCTAAAGCTACCTGAAGGAAGTAGCAGAGATGACACAACCAAACTCCCAGTGGTTATATTGGCTTTGCAAGTTCAGATTAGACAGTAGGGAAAAAAAAAAAAAAAAAAGAAAAAAAAAAATCACCAGGAGGGCAGCAACATCCCACAGGTTACCAGAGAAGCAGCAGTGGAGTCTATCCTTGCAGATTTTAAATGCTCAGTTACACAATGCTGTAACTGACCTAAACGAGTGTTGGCAATAGTCCTGCTTTGAGTGGGAGGCTGGACTAAGATGACCTCCAGATGTCCCTTCCAAGCAACATCTGCAGCTCTCTGAACCGGAACTCTACATTATCTTTTCTTTCAAATACTAGCATCTCTGACATAAAAAGGAAGAAAACTCAAATAATACAATGCTTTTAGGAAAAGTGGCAAGATACCCTGGTGGAACATACAGGATTTTGATTCCTAAAGAAGGAAGTGCAAACAATACTTTGTCCCATGTAGAAAAGAATTTACATCAAGGCTGGGGCTTTATGTGTTACCAGAAAATCTGAAAATTCCACTGATTTGAAGAATGAGCTCTTCTCTGATGCCCAGAAAGCTGTTTAAGCACAGCTACTAAATACACAACATAAATTGCTTCATGCAGTTGTCAAGTAAGAGAGTAATGAAGATTTGCTTTGTGTTACACAATCTTATAGTTTTGTCAATCAAGGGAAAAGTTAATATAATCAAAAAAGGAAGCTTAAACAGTTAGACTAAAACCTTGCAAATCTATACATATATATGCATATATATGAAAGCTTTATCCAGGTTTGAAAAAATAAAATAGCTTGTTTTGTTGTCCAGGCATCTCCAGCCACCTTCTTGGGGTCAAGGACCTCTTTTCAGCCTCACCACATCAATCTACTGGCACTTAGCACTCCCACACATGCCTTAAAAGAATATATATCCCTTGCATCTGAACATACCATTACCAAGTACTTCTGTCCCTCATGCCCACTCTGACCTTCCCACCAGGTCTCTGATACATCTGTTCACATCTGGACCTAGTCAGCAGCTAAGCTTGCATTCAAACTGTGGGGACGCAATCCGATAGCAACCTTAACAACACATAAACAGAACACAAACACAGGAAGCTGGGAGAACACACACTTCATTCTTTAATTTTTTATTTTAATTTAACCCATATGCTATAGATACTAAGTTTTTCAGTTGATACTGAGCCGCGTTCTAAAGAAGATTTAACATCAGTGAATTTACAATGGCTTCGAATCTATTCCAGCAAGCAAGAAAACGAGACAGTTCCCCAAAAGCTCACTGAGAACAGATGAGAACCTACACTAGTCTTTCAGTCACATTTCTCATGAATAATTGTCCCATGCCTTTGCTCCAAAGCCACTATCCACTAGTTTCACCCCCACTGCAGAGCTACATGTTCATTTCAAGGATGTAACAAAATGGGCAAAACAAAAACCTGAGGAAAAAAAAGTAATGGGGAAGGAAGGGAACTGCTACTCTCAAACTTGAGGCTTTACAGAATTCACAGGACTTGAAAAGGACAGTTGGCAAGTCCCATCTAGATTTGTTCTGAATATTCATGCAGCTTTTTCATTTTAAACTCTGGCTAAAGCACCTACTAAGACAAAAGCACCTAATAAGACAAATTTGACTAAATTCAAGGCACAAGAAACAATGTACACTTTTTTAATGGCTAATACATATATCCTATTTTCATTTTTTAACTGTGTACCCAAATGCAAAAATAAAACTGAAATTGATGTTAAACTCTAAACCTTTACAAGCACTACAATTCAATGCAAGTAAGCACCACCTCCAAATAAAACTAATTCAAACTAGACAAGCTCTGAGTTCACTGTACTGGTACACTACGAGTTGTATTGGTTCAAAGAAGCAATTAGCTAAGCAGGAATACAGACAGACTGATTTATCTACTAACAACAGCATTTGATAAAGTGCTTGAAGAACCATGATTTATTTTGGGATAGGTCAGTTCTGGAAGATCCAGCAATTATATTTCCTTTACAACTTTTGTAGGGTGGAGCAAAGACTACTGCCAAACCAAAACTGTAATGCTCAATCTGACCACTACTTCGAGTTTCCATAGAGATTCTGCTTCCATTTTAAGCACGATACTGCTCAACTAGAAGCACTGTTCTCAGAATGCCAGTAGCAGACATGCACACACCTCCCACTCTACTATGGATGAACCCATACAGTTAGCAGTACTTTTTTCTGACTTGACCTTAGCTCCAAACACCCCAGGCTCTCCTGTGCACTGATTTTACTCCCAAGTGCAGACTCCACAGGAACTTGAGATTTAGGTGGGTTTTTTTTCCTTCTATTTCCTACATCCAGCATAACAGCAGTCAGTGGTGGAAGAGCAGTAACAACCTGACCTACACGGCTGGAAAAGTTTTTGGACGTCTGGTTTGGGGTGCACTACCAACTGATATTTAAAAAGGATAAAAAACCAAATGAAAAACACAAGTACAAGAATCAAGGAGGAGGAATGCAAAATTGAGCTCTGAGAACAAGGCAGCATTACATGTACAAAAAATCTAAGATGAGACCGAGAAAAATACCAGTGAAGAATAAGCTTCCTAGCGTTCTGTGCTCTTAATGTTTAAACACTGATAAGATTTCCAAAGATCCATTAGTCACCTATACTAACATTAGTTACACTTCTTCATGAGCCTAGAAAAGATTCTACATTATCCTAACCCATCAAAAATCTGGCTTAACTTAACTTTTTCTTTCCCTTCCTTCCTTCATCTCTCAGGGAAAACAAAGGCTTTACAGAAAATCTACAAGTTTTCTGTAACTTTCAGTTTAAATTTTCTAGCTGGACACTTCACTTGCATGCAATGAGATACCACACTTAACTACAGTGTACCAATATGGTTTGACAGTA